AAATAACTTTTCATTGTCTGTTTTCTTCTTCATTAATATTTAGGAATTTATATTAGTGTCAATCTTTTATTTCTTTGTAAGTCTGTTAATCTTCTGTATCAAATGAACTCTGTAGAATCTTCCATCACAGTTTGCAGATCAGATGAAAAGTCTCTTTCCAACAGTCGATGTCCAGTTGTCTGAAGGAATGCTTTCCTGATTTATTGCCACAAGGATCTGTCACGCTTTACCAGATCAGTTATCTCTGTCTATTTCGTTGCTTCATCCACACAGCTGCGCAGTTCTTTGCTTGAAACAAATTGGACTCTTGCCAATCTCTGCCACGTGCTTGCTTCTAGAATTCACGTTGTATCTTGTGCTTTTTCTCTCAGTTGTAGAAAATAGTCTTGTACAGTCTTTGTGATTTGAAAACTTTCTTTTTCTTACAAACACAGTTCATCTATGACAGTCAGTCTAGATTCTTTTTTTTCTCTTCAAGTTTGTTTTCCCAGTTCCAAAAAAGCTTTGTAACTCGATTCTTCTCTCTCCCCCCTTGAAGTGGGAACAAAACTTGAATAGAAGACTGGCAGGCTAGCCAATGTAAAAAACTAGATGAATGGATGACGGATGTTCATGTGGAATCTTCTTAATTTCTTCTTGTCTTCAGTTGATTGATATATATATACGTATTTTGTATATATATTCTTGGGCCGAATGCTCGCCACAATAATATGTCTATATTATTGAAAAGTAGTAATACGCAATCTGACTTACGGTTTCTTCAGGTTTATTCTTTGTTACGTATACATAATAAAACATAATAAATGCTGTTACAGGATAATGGACATTCAACAGCAGATGGTAATTGCTGGACTTCTGATGGGAGAGTTACATTGTTGTACAGAGCCAAGCCAAGACTAGACTGAGAGACCTCGTGTCCCTCTGTTACTATATAGAAGTGCTAATACTAACGTCAGCATATAACTCTAGCCATATAAGGACAAAACCCCCACATCCACATTCCAGAGCTCTCGGACAAAGAAAGCCTTGTGACTTATTGATACCATCTGTTACTTATGTCAATCCACACATCCATATATATAATCAATAGAAACATAGAATATGCAATATTCTACAGGCATTGTGTTTGAGCTCTGGAGGTCCGCTCCCCAAGCCAAGAACTGAAGGAGTTTGGATGCTCTGTCCTGGGGATGAAACAGGCGAGTGGGTCGCCAATTGCCCACTCACTTCTCTTTACCATTTGTGGTCACATTTTTATTTACTATCTCACTTTTTTCCTTTTTCTGTCTTTTTCACTTTCTTTCTTATGAATCAAATTAAATGTGCGCATGCACATTCAGATCTGACATCGGCAGGGGTTGGAGAGTTCCACAGCACAGAGGGAGTCCGGCGCTGGAAAAAGGTAAGTGGCTGTAGGGATTTTAACCCATTCATCCCAGCGGGACAGGGACCCTGAGGGTGGGTGGACCTAATGAGCCTATAGTGGCAGGAAAACAAGTTTGTTTTGCTGGCACTATAGTGCTCCTTTAACTCCTCCACTACCAGATAGCCACTAGAGCAGGGGTTCCAAACCCGGTCCTCAAGCACCCCCTACCAGTCCCGGATTTAGGGATTACCCTGTTGTGTCTAGTGTTTTTTGGGTTTTTCCCCCAAAACACCTTAGACACAATTGAGTAATCAATAAATCCTGTACTGTTAGGGGGAACATGAGGACTGGGTTGGGAACCACTGCACTAGAGGGACTTCCTGTGCTCTATCAGAAATCTGTATCTATCAGATTTCTATACCTAGGTCACTTCCAGTGCACCCACGTCACTGTAAGTAAAATAAAGTCACGTCACCGTAACTAAAATAAAAGGGAACAAATAAATAGGGCTAAATTCTCGAACGGCATACGAAAAAAAGGGCACAGGTATCAACAAAAATGGGGTTGTCACAGTTACTTACTACACACACAGTAAAAGATATATATATATATATATATATATATATATATATATATATATATATATATATATATATATATATATATAAAAAAACTGATCTAAAATTCTATACCCCAAGGTCTCCTAAAGCACTTGCTGATCTCAGCAGCGTGCATGTCCGCTTGCAGGCCATGGGGTATATAGAATTCTATATCAGATTTATATTTATATATCTTTACTGTGTAGTAAGTAACTGAAAACCCCCCAGTTTTGTGGATACCAGTGCCTTTTTTTTCGTATGCCGTTCGTGCATTTAGCCCTATTTATTCCCTTTTATTTTACCGAATAAACGGCCGAACGGCCAGACCACACGCAATGGGAGTGTGCAGCCTGTTAACCTCCCAGAAGCTGTGGTTAACTGCAAGTAATTGACCTAATTGACGAACGGCTGGGTGGTCGCAGTTCGGTACAGTTCGGCTATTTGAACTCTCGCACTGCTACTGAACCAATTCGTGCATTTTTATGCCTGAAATTGACCGACGGCACAGCCCAAATCTATGGAACTGTTTTGGGCATGAAAAAGTGCTTGCGGTCGGTCATAAAGGGACCTCCAGCTAACTTTTTAACCCCTGCATGGAATTGGCTGAATTTTGACTATGTTTATAATTAAAGTATGCTGAATAATAATATTTTTTTGAATATTGAATGTATAGTTTTAAAGTTATAGTACATATGTAAAAACTGTATTTCTCTGCCAGTGATAATTACATTAATCCATTGTGTAAGGTAATTAAATCACAGGCAGAGGGGAGGATTTTGTCTGTAATTGCTGGGAGTGTCTGAGTGTATTGTACGTATTGATTGGTTGTTTTACAACACCCTTTTGGCAGTACTATGTGTGCAAAATGTGCATAAAAGCAGTGTCTCATTAAAAGCTTCAGTTCTTTTTCACCCTCAATTTGAGTCCTATCTCTTATTGGGGGAATCTGCTACAAGGGATTGCTATGCTCTGCATATTCCCTTGCTATAATCACTCCTAAACTCTTGTAAGAGCTTGTTCCCGGTTTGCGCTCTGAAGGAGTCTACTGTGGTTATGGTGTCGGCTGGAGTGCTGGAAGCGCTAGGAGCATCCTCCAACGAAGGTACCCAGTCAGGGTGCCTGTCGATTAGTTACAATCATAAAACCTGTACATGAGGGGTGCTGTTATACTCAGGAGACTTCGCTGAACACAAAAATTAGTGTTTCTAAACAGTAAAACGTATCACAACAATTATCTTGTCCGGGTAAGTGCCATTTGTGTGTTAAAAAAAAAAAAAAAAAAATTCACTTTCACTGATGATAGCATCGTTGTAATACATTGAAACACTAATAAAAAATATATAAAAGAGACAGCGCTAATTAACAGGCAGCAACCTTAAAAAGGGAAACCCTCCAAACCCTTTAAAACAAGACAAATAAAACAATAAAAAGGCTGCGCCTAAAGAAGGATAAAATAAAATAAATTCAAGTAAAAAGTCCAACGGGATAAATAAATTCAATAGGTAAAAAGTTCAACTTAAGTGTCCTTGCGAATAGTCTTTATAACAAGAAGTGCAGTAGTGAAGTCTTCATAAACTGTATTGGTTCCAATTTAATAGAGCTTATGTCCAGCTCTAGGATAAAAGTGCATACAGCGGTATGATCCCCGCTTATAGGATATGTCGTGGGTATCTCTGTCAGTGGTGTCCAACTCTCAAATAAGGAAAAAGAGAGACAGCCGATAGTGCTCACTGTTATAGTAGTCTTAATATAAGTAGATAAAAATGTACTTACAAATGAGGAGCAGACCGACTGCTCTTGTGTATCAGCATAGGTGGATTAATCCCCACCTCTGGATTTCTTGGAATACAGGAGACTTCCGAAGTAGATGTTGGTATATAATAGTATATAAAATACTAAAAAATATACTAAAACATACTAAAAAGCCAGGTTAAAAAAAAGGAGGGTAATGTGTATATACAACTAGAAAAAAGAATAGTTGGCACAAATAAATGACCAAAAATTACTTTAATATTAAAATACACAGTATAAAATATCCATAACGCGTTTCGTCAACACTTTTTCAAATGGAATTCCATTTGAAAAAGTCTGACGAAACGCGTTATGGATATTTTATACTGTGTATTTTAATATTAAAGTCAATAGGAAACCATACGAATGCTGTAAACAGCCGACTAGGAAAAACCATACGAATAGGTTTACACTCCTAGCAGTCGAACTGGAACAGCATACAATAAATCCCCCCAAGAACGAGACAAAGCTCCGTGTTGAGGGCCAAGCAGTGAACAGTCAGAGCTGTGGGTTTATTGTGCTTATGTACACATTCTTACACATTAGTACAACCCACAGGGTTTTGGAACATAACCAATAAACACATACAATACACTCAGACACTCCCACACAAATTCCTCCCCTCTGCTTGTGATTCAATTACCTTACACAATGGGTAATGTAATTTAGCACAAGCAGAGAAATACAATTTTTCCCCATTATTCATAACTTGAAAAGTATGCATCACATTCACATACACTTACATTTTCAGAATCTGCATACTCCAAATACAAACATACGTCAAAATCATACAAATTGGTCCAGTGGTTCAAAAGATAGATCGTAGTCCTTTGTGACCACAGGAAGCATGGCTTTTCTGCCAAAAAACAGTTCCACAGAGTCTAACATCCTGGAGATAATTGTGAAGTAATCAAATTATCTCCAAAGACAGAGGCAAAACTCCATTGAACACAT